CAGAGCTCCCTGCAGAGCTGGTGCAGAGCCTTTGTGCCCGTCGGTCCGCCTCGGGCAGCTTGCTCCAAAGGGCAAGGGACACAGGCCGTCTCTTCCAGGGTGCCCCAAGGGCAGTCAGAGCCAGGTGACAGTGAACAGGGAGGCTATGTCCAGGGGACGTGCACTGTGCTCACTTGTCCCTGAGCAGGTGCCGGCCAGGGAGCCCTACCTGTGTGCCTGCCACCTCTAGGAGAGGGCCTCCGCCTTCCAGCTCACCTGAATATCAGCCACACCTGGTGCTGGGTCAGGGCGCTGGGCAGAGCAAAGACCTCAGGCCCTGTGCATGGCCGGCCACCACCCCTGGGCCAAGCACTGAGTTGGACAGCACACAGGCCCCAGCCTGCCCACGGCTGTGCCCCAGGTGTCTCCAGGACTGGGGAGGCCAGCCAGCCTGGCAGGGACATCTCTGCACAAGATCTGTTTTCCTGCTGGCTGGCAGCTGGGGCCGCTCAGCCCCAGGCCCCCACATCCTTGTTGCGTGGCCCCCATCCCCAAGCCAGCGCAGCTCCCTGCTCTCTGGTGGGGGGTGCCTGCTCTCTGGCCAGTCCTTAGCTGGATTTATAAAATTCAGTCTCGCTAGCCTAGGAACATGGTGCCCTTTTCAACAAGGGGCCTGAGGGTCAAGAAGAGAAGGTCCTCAGATCCAAATCTGTGCTGCGTGAGACCTGGGCTGGCCACATCCCCATGGTGGGACTCAGGGTGTCCACTCTGCCCAGACGAACTGGTCAGGGCCAACGCGGCCCTGGAGCCAGCGGTGATGCTAACATAGCTATGAGTGCGTTGTCATGTCATCCTGGCTGCTTTAATAGCTCCTACCCTTGCTTATGGGGCGGGTGGGGCGGGGGCGCAGAGGGCCCTAGGCCTCGCCCTTCTCCGTATGTCTGGTGGCTGTGGGTGGAAGGGGCTGTGTTGGTGCCAGGAGCCTGCAGAGGCAGCCAGAGTGGGCATGGGGCTCCCGTTTCAGCCCCCCCTCACCGTGGAGAGGACACGGCCATCTTGTCAAACCTTGCTTTTTTTGGCTAGCTGGGACTGTTAGTAAAAAGTAGGGCCTTTTACGAATAAAGAAGTGAAGTACACAGGGCCTGCTATCCCTCAGCCAGAAAGAGGGCCGAGCAGCTGCCGCCCTACCTGCATGTACCCCCGAGAATGTACCCCTTTCTGGAACTGGGCCCTAAAATGTGACCAGGGGGCTCATCCTGACTTGGGGGAAACACAGGGTGGTTGTCCTGTCACCACCTGTCTGTCCGGCATTCTTCCTGGTACTGCCAGCAGAAAACAAGTCTGTGTGCCAGGAGAGGGTCCTCTCCTGGGGGCCTGCCGCCAGCCCGCAGAGCAAGCGACACACTTTGAGGTTGCTCTGGCCTCATCGACACAGCTCCGGCCTGGTGCTGGGCTCCTGGCGCACGTTCCTGTCCAGGGACCACAGGCACCATGGGGATGGGCTTGCACAACCACACACGCATGTACACTTGTGCGCACACACACTGCCTCCAGAGAGCTCTGCTGTTTTTATTTATAAATTTTTTTATCCTCACCCGAGAACATTTTTTCATTGCTTTTTAGAGAGAGAGAGGAAGGGAGAGAGAGAAACATTGATGGGAGAGTGCAGCATCGATTGGTTGCCTCCCACATGCACCCTGACCAGCGATCCCACCTGCCCAGACCAGGGACCAAACTCACAACCTAAGTATGTCCCCCGACTAGGAATCAAACCCGAAACCCATCAGTTACGGGATGACGCTCCAACCAACTGAGCCACACTGGCCAGGGCAACTCTGCTAGTTTTTTTTAAAAGCTGAAACATTTGGAACTGATTTGGTGCCTTTTTCTGTTGTTGAATGAAATTGCTGTTAACCACCAGAATTTCTGCAACTTGAGGACCATGGGGAGTTTGCTCTCCTCAGGCATTACCTGGCACGTGGTGAACCTGTGGTCACAAAGCACAGGCCTGTGAACAGACACAGCCCAGACAGGCCTGCTGGCCCACCACTCCTGCATCCCCCTGCCCCCACAGCCCCGGACCCCCTTCCGGAGAAGGGCCTGCCTCTCCACCTGGCCCTCCCTCTACATTCGCAAGTGGAAATAAGCAGAGCTGCTGGAAGCCCCTGGGGAAGACTGGGAGAGGCCTGCTGCGTGTTCCCCACAGCTGCAGAAACCCACTCAGGATTCAGTTAAACGCAGAGATCAATGAGCTAGACTGGTGTGGATGCAGGGTCAGGTGAGACGTAGTCACATGTCTGGTTCCCAGCCCTGCCTGCTGAACAGCCCAGAGACAGTGATGCCCAGGCCAAGGTGAGTCCAGCCTCAGTCAGAAGGACCCAGCTACTGGGAGAGACGGCTGTGCCCAGGGCTGGGCAAGCAGGGGTTCAGGTGACCCTAGAGCATGTTTAGTGCCAGAAATTAGAAAAATGTTCAGAAAGTGGTATATGCCATCAAAACCCATGATCCATGATTATAACTCACTGAATAAAATAACCCACATGTCCACACTGGCACCAGTAAATACACGGAGAGGCAGCACAGCCTCTCCTTACAGAGGAACGCCACGCAGAAGGACTAGTGGGCCCAGAACTCACTATTCAAATGCCATTGGGACGACTGACTCCAGCAAGGTCATCGAAGGTGCCAAAGATGGGGCGTTCGGGTGTAATGGGTCATTGTCAGGCCTCACACTGCAAAGGGGAGAGCAGAAGCTCTGCAGAGGAGGGCCCTGGCCGACACCCCTTACCCTGGAGATCCAGGTGGAACCACCTGTGCTAAGACACGTCGACACCCAGGACACCTGTCACCCCTGGGGTCTTCCTGCCACAAGCAGGTGCCCCAGCCTACCACGAGGAGCGTCCTGCAAGTGAGCATGCACCCCAGAACGTCAGTGCCTAGTGCTCGGGGGGCCAGAGAGACGTGGGGGCGAAAGGCGGTGTGTGGCCTGGGACTTCCTCTCGTTTAAGGTGTTAACTGGTGACTGGCCTGAGTCCCGGGCTGTGAGTGCTGCTGCGCACACGGGAGAGCACCCTTCTGGGACGTTCACCCCGAAGTGCTCAGGGCACCAGGTGTCGTGTTTCTGCTGACTCTCAGATGGTACAGGAGACACACCAGTGGCGGGAGAAGGAGGAAGGGGGGCGGGTAACATGGAAACATTTGGGAGTTAAGGGATTTCCTTTATTGTTCTTACAACTTTTCTCTAAGTCAGGAATCATGTCCAAATAAAGTGAAAAGTTAACAGGAAAACACCTTCCCAGCTGGGTCAGCGACCCTTCCCAGCTGCCATTCTACTTCTGAGCCAAGGCGGGTGGGTGGCCAGGCAGCCAGGAGCTCTGCCATTTTGGGGACTTCTCGCCACGGCCGCTCGCTCACAATGAGTGTCAGAGAGAGGGCCCACACTGTTCAGGGCACCCAGGCCGTTGCACTTAGACCAGTGTCTCCTCGTAGTCAGCAGTCACCTCTCTGTGCCTATCACACAGCAGGCCACCAGCAGGATAGCCACCTCCTCGAGCTCACAGCGAATCTGAGAGGAAGCTCAGGGCAGAGGTAAGAGCCAGGCTGCAGCCAGGCCCAGTGCCGGGGCCGGGGCCACGTGGCAAGGGAGCAGGTCGGAGAAACACTGTGGCTGGGGAGCAGGTCACAAGGGGCTGGGGCCAGCACTCCCGTGGCTGTTGCAAGAGGCACTTTCTTCCTCTGGAACCTAAACCATGTGTAATGAGGTCAAGTGTGTTTAGTGTTATTGAAGCTGTGCTGGCACACCAGCAATCATCCATTTGTGTCTCTAGCACAGCCGTGCCCTGACAGTGGCCATTGTTGCCTGCACAGCACCCTTTATGTCTGTAGGGTGTGTGTGTGTGTGTGCGCGCGAGCACACATGCACGTGCAGAGAACATACGTCCCCAGGAGGGAGAAGGGTGCCACTGAGTGCTCGGGAGCATGAGGAGGCGGCAGGGCCAGGCCCAGGCAGGGACGGGTGTGGGCGCAGTAGACCTCCACCCGGTCAGAATCGCCGTGCTCTCTGCATACAGGAAAGGGAGCAGCTCATGTGAGAGGCGGGGCGGCAGGTCCACCTGGGCCTGGAGCCCCAGTGCCTGGTGTCCTGTCCACATGGAGGCGTCCCTGTGCACCGTGAGACACATGCCCTTCACCAATAGCTGAGTGTCACACTGGGGCCTCCTTGATGGGGCAGCGAGCCCAGTCCAGGCCTGCTCCGAGCCTCGTGGATAGCGGCGTACCCCGCCCCACACGGCATCAGCACAGTCAGTCCATCTGAGCGTTGGTGGCCACGTGACCATCTGCATGGCCTGCTCCCAGCCTCAACTACAGGATGGGGGGTGGGGGAGCACAGGGCCTTGTGGTCAAAGGTACAGGGCCTGTCAGCTGGGCCCTGGGGTGGCCAGCACCACAGCAGAGTCAACACTCGGGCCTCCTGGGGACACACACTCAGGGCGGGACCTGTTCCCCAGCCTTCTCATCCTTCAGGCGGACATCGCTCGCGTGTAAGCATTCGCCTGAGACAGGCCCACAGTCCCCCCCCACCAGCACCCTGTCCTCTGAACAGGGCTCCACAGTGCCCGGCACCGCTCAGGGCTCTGACCACGGGCTCTTCCCCAGCATCTGAGCTTCTGTGTAACCAGGACCTTCGAAGCCCCTGAATGGGTCTGTGTGAGAATTACAGGACACCGTGCAGGGGAGGGTGCCTCTGATGCGCACCTCAAAAAGACTTAGACACATGCTCCCAGCACCCCTGTCCTGGCGATCTGTGTCTTGGCAGCGGGGTGAGCTTCTGGAGGAGGGGCCATGGCACCAGCCTCCCCGCTGCCTTTTCCAACCAGATGGTCCCAGATCTGTCTTCCCCCAAAAGCCCACTCTCCTTCCTAAACCAGCCAGTGGGCACCATGTGGTCAGTACAGGCCGGCTGGGGTCCCCTGTGAGCTGGGGCTTAGGGCACAGCTCACAGGCCACCTCCTGTTCCACAGACGCAGCCAGTGCCCAACCCCATGGCCTACTTCCTGCACCGGTCCCCGTGGTGGGTCCATCGCTTCGAGACGCTGAGCAACCACTTCCTGGAGCTCGTGGTGCCCTTCTTCATCTTCCTGGGACGGCGGATGTGCATCCTTCATGGCGCCTTGCAGATCCTGTTCCAGGTGAGTCACTGCAGACCCCTCTGAACATGAATTCGGCTTGTCAGTTCCCAGGGAAGACACTGTCGGGATTTAAAGTTTCTGTGTCCTGCTTATTGTTTGCTTTCATCACGGGTAACTTACACGCCACAATGGCAGTGCCCTTGCAACTTCGCCAGTCCCGCTCCTGGTTTTCCCCATGGTGTCTAGGGTCTGTGTCGTGGCGCGTTGCAGGCGCATAGGCAGCAGGGCCGGCCGCCCCTGGTGCTGAAGGAGGGGCTCCCTGGCCCAGCAAGATGTAGCTGGAGGTGGTTCGTCCAGCTGGTTGGTTTTTGTGGTTGCCTTTATCAAGTTCTCTTCTGTTTCTGCTTTAGTGGGAAGTTTTGTTCTATGATTTTTGTTTTGGCTATTTTTAGTCCCAGAATGAATGGATGTTTAATTTTAACAAATGTTTTTTTCCCACCACCTGTGAGGTCACTTTTCTCCCCCTTCAATCTGTTAATGTGGTGAATTGCATGAATACTGCTAATGTTGAACCAATTTTACCTTCCTGAGATAAACCAACGTATTAATCTTGCTGTATATGTTAATGTTACTGGGTATGCTTTGCTAGCATTTGGTTTCGGATTTTGCATGGTTGTCGGTGAATGAGATTGGTCTGTAATTTCGCATCTTGCACGGGCCTCACCGAGCCCGTGAGGGTTGGCCCCTTCTCTGCGTGCGATCGCGAGGACAGAGACGGCGCTCCTGCCTAGCCGCCAGCCTCTCGGGCGTCTGTGGCACTGACTGGGGCCTCGGTGGCTGCCAGAGCTACAGCGTTTCCATTTTTCTGAAGGCAGCTTTAAGGCAAACATTTTCCTGGGAATTTGTCCATGTCGTATGTTTTCAAATTTATTAGCCAAGGAAAGTCATAATGCTCTCATATATTTGCGGAGTCTGGATTTGTTACCTTCTCTTTTCAGCCCGCGTCCTTTGGTCCGGTGTAGAGCAGGATTCTCTCCAGACTGAGGCTGAGGCGCATTCTCTGGTGTCTTTATTTCTATGTTCGTTATTTTCTTTTCATCCCTTTTAGCTTTCCTTTGAGGTTTTCTCATTCTGTTATTTTGCTCTCCTAAGTTATATGCTCTATTTCTTTCAAGTGAGTGCATGCTCAGTTAACAAATGGAAATTCTAAATTTAACCCCCAATAACTCCCACCCTTGCTGCTGTGATGGCCCTAAAGCCCTACGGTGCTTTAACTGCCCTGCCCCTACCTACTCACCTGCTTTCACTACCCTGGGATTTTAGCTCTTTTTTGTTTGTTTAATTTTTAATCAACAGAGTGTTTTTAGAACAGTTTTAGATTTACAGAAAACTGAGCAGAGAGTATAGAGGATTCCCTTAGCCCGCTCTCCCGGGCACAGTTTTCCCTTAGTAAACATCTTCTGATACATTTGTTACAGGTGATGAGCCAGCACTGATACTTTATCATTAACTGAAGTTCACAGTTCAGGCTGCCCTCCGCTCTGGGTGTTTACTTTCTATGGGTTTGGACAGATGCTCAACGTCATGTAACCACCATTTAGCATCATACGGAGGGCGACGTCACTGCCCTAACAATCCTCTGTGCCCTCTAGATTCATCCCTCCTGCTGCTCCCCAGCCCCCGGCAACCACTGGCCTGTTCACTGTCTCCGTAGTTTCCCCTTTCGCCGAGTGTCATGTAGCTGGAATCATCCAGGATGTGGCCTTTCAGGCTGACTTGTGTCTGTAGTAATATGCATTTGAGGTTCCTCTTGCCTTCTCGTGGCTTGAGAGCTCTTTCCTCTCATTGTCGAGTCATACTGCACTGTCCAGATGGACCACCATTCATCAGTAAACTATCACAGTTGGCCGGATACAGAGCCCTGGCCACCCAGCGCCCCCCTTGCCGCAGCCAGAGCATCACTGCTGTGCCCACTCCGCGCCCCGTTAGGCCTCATGGCTCTGTGGTCTCAAGCCAGTGGGAGGAAGCTCCAGGTGGAGGCTTGAGGTCCGCCAGCAGGGGCGCCGCCTTATGCTGGACCTTCCCCTGTTGTCTGAGGATGCCCAACCCATGGCTCCCGCCTTCCCTTCTGGACGGAGAACTTAGGTCTGGTTCCTGAGGCTGCTCAGAGGACCCGCACGGCACCCAGCCTCGGGAGGAATGAGGTCTGCTCTGACTCCACGGCCCCCGAGGTGACCGAGAATCACTCTGGGGCAGCAGGGTGGTGATCAGTCGCCGCTTTCGCTGCAGTGAGTCAGCAGAACCCACTCAGGGCTGCACCCTCCACAAGGTCTTCGAGGACCCCCCAGTATCCACCAAGCTACATGACTGGCTTTCTGTCCAAGTAATCCAAAGCCGGCTTTGACAAGCACTAATGAGCAAGTTGTTACATTACCTCAAAAAAAAAAAAAAAAAAAAAAGATAACCTAAGGAAGTTTGGTCACCAGTGCATGTGGAAAATCACATCCGGAAAGAACCCACATGGACCATGTGACCAGTGGCCTCGGAGTGCCCTTGATCACTTACAGCACGCTTGGCCGAGTCTCCTGGTCCGTCCAGGCGAGGACGGGCTCTCTCGGCGTGGCCTGGTGGTGGATCTGCATCCCGTCCCAGCCAGGGCACCCGACACCCAAGTGGGGAGGGCTGGGGGGGAGGCCTCAGGGCTCAGGGGTAGATGGATCCCAGCAGCCTCAGGCCAGATGGCTAGGTCCAGACCCAGCTCTGGGGCCTGCTGCCTGGGTGGACAGTGGTGGACAGTGGTGGCACAGAAACCCTGGGCAGGGGAGGGCCAGGGCTGCACCTCAAAGGGCCTTACTGCCACCCTGCGACTCTGAACATCATCCCAGAAGATCAGCCCATGTATTTGCCTTGCACTCCCTGAAGGCCCTGGGAGCCCCTGGTCCAGGCATGTCCCCAGCATCATCCGCTCCAGCCCCATGCCATGCCCAGGACAAAGCAGGAGGACCTCAGAGCTGTGGCTCTTCTCCAAGGCCTGGTGTGTTGCCCCCTCAGGGGTCAGGCCTCAGCTGTCCAGAGCAGCGAGGACGAATGGCCAGCTGGCCCAGCTGTGGCATGTCCAGCCCCCTGGCAGGCCGTGTGGAGTTTCAGGGTTGGGGGGCCACAGGGAGCCGATTCTCAGCAGGTGTTCAGCTCTCCTCAGGGCTGCTGCCCTGGGCCGGGCACGTCAGTCGCTTTGGGGAGTGGCTCACGTTAGGTGTGCACCGTGGGTCTGTGAGGTGCCGCAGTAGGGGCCGAGCACCTGTCTCTGTGCCTGAGACCCCGAGAGGCGGCTCTGGTTCTGTTTGTTTCCGTCCGTCCCCTTGGGAAAGGATCGAGGATGTGAGCGCCTTACCTCCTCCCACGCCGAGTTTACACAGCTGCTCCGGAGGGTTCTGCAAGGCCATTGTCTCTGTGAAGAAGCGCACCACCCCAGCCTCAGACCCCTGTTCTAATCCCAGGCCTGAGGGAGAGGCCCTGGAGGGGCAGCCGTTGGCTTCCGCTGTGGAACTGGGCAGAGCTCCCATCCTGGCACAGGACGGGCACTCTCCAGGCAGCGGGCTCCTGGTCAGTGCACTCTCATCGTGGGTCCCAGGCCAGGTTCTCCTTCACCTCCCACCACATCCTGCTCTTTCTAGTCTCTGCGACTTTGGCCAGAGTCCTAAGGACAGGGTCCAGTGGGGCCATCCCCATGGCCATGGGCACGGGCACGGAGAGCTGCCTCCACCAGCCCTGCGTTCCGGGTACCTGCCCCTGGATCCGGGCTGCAGAAAGCCTCCCAAGGATAAGCATGTGTCCTCAGCAAGGCTGTGCAAGCTGAGAGCCCAGCAGCGAGTTCCAGAAGCCCACCCCTCCCTCACTGGAATCCTGTTACCTCATCTTAGAACATCTGCTGCAGCGTCTCCTGGGCTCGAGAGCCAGCACTCACCGCTCATCTGCCTGCACATCGTCCAACTCCCGAGGCCCCGGCACAGGCCTTGGGCCAGTGCCCCATTCAGGTCTCCTGCAGGCTGCGTCATGCACTGAGGGTGTGATTAAGCCTCCGCCAGCCGGTGTAAACACGGATGCCCGGTGTGGTCTATTCATTTCCCTCAGAGGAGATGCCGCAGCAATGCCAAGAAAGAGCACATACCCCTCGGCACACGGGGGCCGTGCACATGATGCCACACCCCATTTTTATTAAAACATGGCCATCCAGATGGATGGGGCAGATAAAGGGGTGTAGGCTGGGTGGGGACATGCATGTGCCTGACACGGACTCTGTGCACGGCCAAGTGACGTCCCCGTGGTTTCTGCTATTTTCTTAGAAACAGGATTTTATCCCCAAACTGTGCCCTGTTGAACCTAGTTCTCCAGGAGGTCAGAGCCACCCAGCGGGGCTCACATAAGAATGACCCACGGGGTTCTTAGAAAATATGCTGGTGCCAGGGCTGCCCCACCCAGACCCACTACGGCTGGAGCCCAGGGAGGGCCAGGCATTGCTCAGAGGTCACTCAGGGCCACGTGGCCATGCCTTTCAACATGCACTCCCGAGTTCTCACCCAGATAAAACTGTCGGGCTTCTGGGATCCTGTCGGCACCTGAGCGTTCTGGAGCGCGGTCATGTGGATCGGGCACAGGTGGGCAGATGCTCCTGCAGCTGTGCAGAGAACGACCTTCCTGGGGCTGGCCCACGGCTCCCGCTCTCGTGTCTGCAGCACAGCTCACAGAGGCTGGGCTCGCACAGCCTCATCGAGAAGCAGGACAGGTGTCACCAGGCATTGATTCAAAGCTACTATCCGTCAAGATAACGGTGCCAAATGGACAGCATTGCCACCTAGAACCTCAGGGAGAAGGCTTAACTCCCACCTGCCTGGGCTGTGGCCTTGCGCATGCAGGTCCAGGCCTGTGTCTGCCACAGTACCAGGCAGGGCCAGGCTTGGAAGTACCTGGGCTGCAGGGATGCAGACCTCTCTCTGGTGCTCATGTGGGGCCCTGGGGTGGCTCTTCATTTTTTCCAATTCTCTTTTCAAAGGCTGAAGAAG